TTAATTAGCAAAACAACAACTTCGCACGTGCAACACACGTTTTTGTTCTTTTCTTTCCTGTTTTTGCACGACTACGACGTGAAAATGCCTAATTTCGCGTTTTATGGAGGACGTAAATAAGTAACGACGAAATTTTATGTCTCTTTCTGAGCTTGAATATGGTCCCTTGAAATTCAGCTTTGGGAGGGTTCGCCTATAATTGACAAAGTAAGTGGGTAGGAATAATCGCTATAGAGACTGAAAAAAATAAACATCAAACCAGAAACTGTTCTCTTCAAACTGTAAATTATAAATGATCCTGAGAGAATATTCAGTGTGTTAAGGATTTCCTTGCTCTACTGTTAGCTCTATACAAGAGAGGAAGGGCGATTCTTTTTTAATTTCGGTTTCGCTGACACAGCTTTCGCAGAAATCTCGCTGTAGTCGTTTTCGTCGACAAAAGGAATAGCAAAATCGCTCTCCGCGTCTTCCCCCATTTTGTTCCGCGTCATTTCGTGAAGGACGCGTGGCTCTCAGCGTGGGTCATCCACGCGGAACACATTTGTGCTATGTGATTGGCTGTTGTCTAATCCCCCTTGAGATCTGTGGTGTTAAAAATAACTCGAGATGAATAGGGTGTATATGGGGGATGCCCTCTCTGTCCCCTTTATAGTCTCTTGGTCTAAGACGAATTATCCGTCTGTTAGCATGTCCTCAAGATGCGCTAACAGACGAATCAGCCTCGGACGAATTTTGCTCCATAATTCGTCTTAGCACCAAATTTATACTACAGACGGATAATTCGTCTTTAGTATAAATTCGACCATTGTGTTTTGTTCTCAGGTAAGACATGTTACTCCCCCACTGCCTCACTGCACGCAAGTGTGTGTGGCGCGATTAAGGGGGATTAAAATATCCTAGCCGCTGCACGATACATTATTTGAGTTACCTTTCTAACACACACGTGGTTCAAGCCCCGATTATCAGTCTCTGCCCGACCCACTAGTGACGCGGTAGTATTAAGCAAATTCATCTTGTGTGATCATGTCTGTAATTCTCCTGACCACGCTGTTTTACAAGGCATTAATATTACAAAGATAAATTTGGTGGTGATCACTCTTAGGGCTTTAAGAGTTAAAGACGTTGGGAAGGGTAAAAATCAATGCAGAAATAAGATGGCAACGACTTGTACAACCGCGTTTGTGGAATGTCATGTCATCAAGATTATCATATTACGCTAGAGTCAGTGCGTTGGTCTTTAATTAATCAGCCGTTTCATGTTGTGGTTTTCGTTGTTCTAGATAATGATTGACAAGCTCCTTCAAGAATTCGCTGAAGAGAATTTTGGGGACCTAGAGGGAAACTTTTTTCCTGTTGTTTATGGCCGAATCCAAGAGATAAAGTTATTTGCTCTGTTGGTTAAGGAACAAAGAGCCTTTTATGAACGTCCGTTTAAAAGATATAAGCTCACAACACTTGCAGGACTAGAAGAATATGTAGCTGATGACAAGGACAAATTTCTTGAATCCCTGAACAAACACATTGGAAAAGACGATCCTGGAATAGTTCTAAAGAAGGAGAACGAGGATGATAAAGGCGCTTCAAGGTAAATATAATTAAGCATATTCCGTTAGCAGCTAGGCTGAGTGGTCAACATGTCGAACATTCCATTTAGGAATCAGGGGCAGCCAAGGACAGTTTTCTGTAAAGTGTTCGGAGAAGCAAAAATTGCCTAGAATTTGCCGTACCTCGAGGAAGGCTAAGTATTTCTAGATGACCGTTCCATTTATGTACAATTTTCGAAGCTTATCTACTGATAAATTCCCTACGATTTTCTGAAGTTTAATTTTTCGCGTTTCACTCCCCAGATTAAGCTATATTTGCAGAAAAAGGAAACCTAAAATTTTCGGATTCGAAAATGTGCGCGATGGGAAGAGGAATCAGAAAAATTCTCACTCTCTTCGTTAAAATTTGAATTTCATCTAAAACTTTCTTCGGGAAAATAATACCGAGGCCCTGGTAATCATAATTCCAAAAGTTGCCCTAGGACGACAGAACAGATTCAAATTTGATAGCGCCAAATTGGAATGCATTCCTAAAGATCTATAAATTTAAAGTACTCTGGATAGCCTAAAAAGTGTTTTCAATGCATTTAGGAGAAAATCATCGTTGGTTGCCACTGAGGAATCCTGCTGGACTTGTCTCACGCTCTGACCACTGACTGAAATTATAATCTCTTCACACCCGAATTCGCTTCAATTCAATTTGAGACTATTTGGCTAGATTACGTGTCACAGAGTAATCTTCTGAAGGTAGAGCAGCTAAGTGTATTTCCTCTACAAACCAAGATTAATATTTTGCATTTTCCTGAATTCTGATAATTAAAAAAATGCTGCTTTATTTGTAGACTAACAATTCAGTGGTTCAACCGGAGCAACTGGGAGTATGTAAAATGTCTAATAATTCCTCAGTTAGCCCATGGGTATTTACTTCTGCATGAAACGCCTGACTCTAACCTTTGGGATATAGGTCGGGCAAATTAATTTCAGTAAAGTATTTTTCCTGAGACATTTTTGAACACTAAATTATGACTCTCTGGGTTTTTTTTATTGTGGGATCCTTTGGGTCTTTTCCTCATTCTTGCCTCAGTAACTGTCATGATTCCTAACCGTTTCCGTCATCGTTTGCGACATCCACTCAAACTTGTGACCTAAACTGATTCTTACTCGTTTCTTGCTCGTTGAGTGTGACCTTGCTGAGGCTGCTAACCCTTGGTGGAGTTGTGCCGCACTGTTCTCAATTTCTGATCCCTTTTCAGACAAAAATGTGTCATTTCCACACCCATTTTCAGACCTGGTTCCTAAAATCGATACCCGTTTTAAGACTTAGCTTTAATTGAAAGCCATTATCGTTTTGCGAACCCATCAACTTGTCCTTGTGAAGTCAGCATATTATTTGAGCCTTATTAACATCCTTTCGTCGTATTTGACACTGAACATTACTTCAGACAAACAGATGTTGATGCGCTATTGGCTCCCTTGAAAAGGTACCATACCCAATTGAAGAGTTCAATACGACCTATACGTATAGAGGGTCCTCAATAGGGTTCTTTTTATCCCGTCCTGCAGACCCAGATTTTTGCTCAGTCCCGTAATCCTGATGGTTATTTGCGTCATTTGGTCATCCTGCTTTTTGTGCACACTTTCAATCCCGAATCTCGACTCCATTTTGCTTTGAAATCCTAAGTGCAGAACTTCATATAAGATTAATCCCGAAAAACCTTTTGAGGAACCTCAGCATACCCGTTTTCAGACCAAAAACGGCTCATAATCCTACTCATTAGGACAGCACATACCTACATAGCTCATATACGTAAAGAAGCATCCCCGAGGGGGGGGAAGACGGGGATGACAACCCGACATTCGAAATCTTATACTAGTATTTTGCACTTCTTAATTTAGCTCAGCAGAAATTGGAATCAGGGCAGCTAATTGTGCCAACGCAAAGATTAAGATTAGTGAAGACCTCGGATTCCTAGAGCTGGGTAAAATTGATCAAGATTACATGATTGACCCGGACGTACGTGCTCTATTGGCCAATACAAAACTGGACATCAATAAAGCAGAAGTCTTTCAAGACAAAAAGTTGCGTTTGATAACCTCAGTAGTTTACAGTGAGCGATTTGAGGTTAAAGGCAACAGAATGAAAGAGGTATTTTACCATTTGATATAATCATTCCCAGATGATGAGTCAAAAGAGATTCGTCCCATGTAAGAGAATCCAGAGATTCCGGAATCCAGGAAATTTTTTTCTTATGGAGTCCGGAATCCTGGGCTTTAGAATTCGGAATATAGCTTAAAGAATCCGGAATCCTACTAAAGATTGGAATCCAGAATCCAAATTCCACTAAGAAAATCTGGCATCCAGTACCTGGAATCAGGAATCCAAGACTGTTTTGGATTCCCCTATGAAATAAACGTTCATAGTCACCCCCCCGCTACCTCCCCAAAATAACAAGTATAGGCCGCGAGGTTCTTATTTGAATGTCCCCCCGGTGTCCCCGTAGGAAAGTCTTAAAAAAAACAAAAAAATGGAGTGTCCAATTTTATTTTCAGCCCCCACGTTTAATTTCGCTCTGTCGCCGCTGTGTAACCATATAACCTGGCCAGACCATACCATTCAATCAAAATCAATAATCAATAACTTCAATAATAATCAATAAAAATCTATAGCAATAAATTGATTGATATTGAAAATCAATAAAAATCAATGCGCAGTCTTGAGTGGTTTTCGATTTTCATTGATTTACGTTGATTTTATTGATTTTTATTGAAAAATGTGCTTTCTTTCACGTCACACGGCTTAGAAAATAAAGCCACTTTTATTAGTTTTCATGGTCCAATGTACGATAAATTAAGAAATTAAAAGAGTACAACAGAAACAACAATACAAAGAACAAATTAATTTATCTTTCTGTATTGACAACAGGCAAAAACAGTAACTGAAATACTATTGTTGCGGCTGGGTTCCCTGTTTTCTTGTTTCCCGCCCTTTTAGATCACGCGATGAGTTTTTTTGTCGTACGAAAGCACTCGATATATCATATTGTAGCGATTCACACGAAGTAACGACGTTTTAACGCTTGACAACGTATATATATATATATATATATATATATATATATATATCCTTGTTTGTACGGATTGGTTTGTTTTGTCCAAATAAAGTGTTAACGCCAGTTTACGAGTGGATTTGCACCTCACAACTGTACTTACGCGAAAATATCCACCTGATGTAGTCAAAGTGGGCTAACACGATCAGCTTGAAGATGGCTAAGCTGGCCTCTTTCACTCCAAACTTTGAATGCGTTACCGAGTTCTCCCCTGTTCTTGGAAACTGAAAACACTGCCCCTTTCTTTACCTTAAAAGGACACGATTATCGATTTTTATTGATCAGCTAAATTATTGATTAGATTGATTGAAATCAGTGATTGATTTTCATTGATTATTGTCGTTAGGAACCTGGTTATACGAAGGATAGTTTGTTATTTTCAGAGCATTGCTACGTGACGTTTCTGTTATTTCAAACAGAACACCGTTCTCGGGCGAACAACTGAACAGGTCGTTAGACGAATTCATGACTAGTTTTGAGAATCGCCTAAACAAATTAGTGCGTTAAAAGTGGATCACGACTTTGATTTTGCCTTTCTTGATTACCATAATGTTAAGTAACACTTTTAATTTCTTGGCTTCAACGTAGAGTCTTCCAGCCTAGAATATTTTTATGACACCATAGATTTATGTTTTTTTTTTTGAAATTTTGATGCCATTTACAATTGCGGCTATTTGTCAAATACTACAGACTGAACATCTCTTTCATTTTATGCGCATTTGATCATATTTACATGTATTTTGCGCAATATAAATATTAAATCATCATTATTATTATTATTATTATTATTATTATGCACAGAATCTGTACACAAGTTTTGTTGTTTGCTGGTTGATTGGTGTGATGGCCTAACTACTTCATCTTAATACGTATTACTATTTTCTTAGAGGAGTATTTGTATCAATTTTGAAGGTGGAAGTTGATGGTGGAGTCAAGATTCCCGTTCACATTTTGGCCCAGTTGAAAGGGATGTTTAAGAAGTGCAATATTCCCCCAAAGATGGCCACAAGGAACACGCGTGGACCATTCCTGTTCAAGTGTTGCCGTGTTGTTTATAACAAAGAAAAAAACCGATTGGAGCTTCCCAAAGGAGAGGTAGTTGGCAAAAATATTTTCAGAGGTGACGAGGACGACGAGGAAGATGAGGAATATAAAAACTCAGCAGTAAGCCTGGAGGAGGGGGAGGAAACCGATTTAACAGGTAAATCGATAATTAACAAATCAATATGATTTTAAAACCACGCCGGACTTTTAATAGTTATCTTTTTTAAATTCGCATGGATACAAATAAGGCCCGGTTCAAACGTCGAACTTTTCATGTGCCGAACTTAATACCTATTTGGGTGGAACCAAATGATTAAGTTCGACGGTTGATTCAGACGTCGAACTTAATTTTTGGAGTAAGCAAGTACTATTTTCGCCCCTTTGAAAATATGAAAATGAACTGATAAAGGGGTATGAAACGATTCATTTTCTTTCCATTTCGTTTCAGTAGTTAGTTTGAGCATCTATAGTCATCGAGTCGGAATAGCTTTTTCTGCTATGTTTCGTTGTTTATGTTAAAGGAAATCGCAATGATATTGAGGTACAAATACGCACCGTGAATGCTAAAGCATACAGATATAATGTTAATGCATGTTGGAAGTCGACCGTTTTGAGCTGTCCAGTTCCAGCACGTTTTAAAACTCCATATCGAGAAAGCTGTTAACAGTCATCAAGCTTCCGTGCGTTATCTTCATGTATCACAACTCATCATACAGCCAATGCAATCATAAGCGATGTTATATTGAAAAAATATATTAAAGTAATTTATGCATTAGGTTCGACAAATGAGGTTCGACGTCTGAATCGCTGTGGCACTTTTGCCGTTCTATTACTTTTTCGACTGGCGCAGTCGAATAGAACGGCGGGTCGACCCAAATACAAATCTGTCGAACCAAATTGCTTCATACGTCGAACTTTTCATATGTCAAATCTGATAATTAGGTTCTGCACATGTAAAGTTCGACGTTTGAACTGGGCCGTACTGTATATAGAGAATACTTCATGGAAAGTGCTTTGTACGGTATTTACGCACGAGTTGTTGACGTATCAGAAATCGAAAGAGTGGGCGCAGCGAACGAGTAAGATTTCTGATACGAAAACAACGAGTGCGTAAATACCGTACAAAGCACTTTCCATGTGGTATTGTGTTTATTATATACATACTGAGACATTCATCATTTTGGTGGCCTTTTTATTTTAAATCTTTCAAAAATGCTAAAATTTGCCGCTACACACTTACCGCAAAATGAAAACGAAAACAATGTATCAGCTTTTTAGTAAAAACCTTTGTTAAAAACATAAATGACGGTAAGGATATGAGGTAATCCAAGAACTATAAGAAATCTTAACTGTTTGTTCTCGATGCACAATTGAAAATGAGTGAATTTAAGTAAAATGGCCGGTTTCAATATAAGCGTAAGCTTAAATGAAAGGCAAAGTAGCTCCGATAAAAAGCACAACAAAAGCTTACGTCTCGTTCTGTTTTTCCCTTTCCGCTGTTGTTTCGCCGGCTCTCTACCGTTTTCTTTATCGACAGTGAACCAAACGAAACTATTCCACTCCATTTCCGAAATGTTTTTCACTTTTTTAGCTAGAAAAACTCTTTGAGTAAAACTTTTCTCTTTGAATGTGTGCGAAGCGGCGCTGCAAGCTGCAATAAAAGGCGGGAATTTTGGCGCGAAACTCACACACCTCTGTGGCTTCTGATTGAACGTATCATTTTTCTCACACGTGAAAAAACATCGTTCGCGATTCTGATTGGACGTATCATTTTTTTCACGTGTGAAAACCATCGTTCGATCCTCTGATTGGCTAGAACTAATTTACGTACGAAAATTTACGACATAACTTTTTGGTGAGTATTTCTCAGTATGTATATAATAAAACAGACATCTACATGCAAAACATGTCGTGGTACCAATAAGTCCACGCAAGAGCCATAATGGGACTTGGTCCACGCCGTATCGATGACTAATCAAAGGCTTGCCAGATTACTGCAGGGTATCATCTTCCAACACAAACCCTCATCAACTAGGTTTTGATATGTTGCAGATTTCGAAACGATTTCTGCTTTAGTGGACAGCCTTTGATCTTCTCAAAAGGTTCCATCAACCCTCCTCCCCCCCCCCCGCAACCCTTGTACCACGATGAGGGTATGAATTCCCTGTACGTCCGAGGGTTAAAATCTAGCGGGGTTTATATGCAGCTCTGGGTTGTCTAGTGTTCTTGGTAATAAAGCCTGCAAAGTCGACTGCTTTAAAGAGATTCCAATGGCAAAAGCCAAACTGTCCTACTATAGTTCGTTTTCAATAGACTGATGTACTGTTTTTCTCGGCTTTCTTTACACAAGTTACTGACTCCTGATACAGATAAGGGAATCAACACCAGATGAGCACACAGGTTTTTCTTTTATAATTGAAAAAAGTTGAAAAAAAAAGTGCATTCTTACTCAAAAATGGCTTGACCTCCTACTACTTATGACGTCATATCTCGTAAAACATGGTAGCTGACCATCACTAAACTTGTTTCAAAATGCGCGCCAGGGATAAAAGCGCCAGGTGTTGATGTTATATTGTCTAGGAAAAAAAATCAAATCAAATCGTCTTTCCTAGACGATTAAACATCAGCACCTGATGTACCGCTTTCGGTAGCAGCTCGTTTATCCTTCGCGCGCATTTTGAGACAAGTTTAGCGATGGTCAGTTTCTATGGTTACGAGATATGACGTCACAAGTAGCAGGTGGTCAAGCCATTTTTGAGTAAAAATGCATGTTTTTTCAACTTTTTTCAACAATAAAAGCAAAACGTGTGGATGAAATGATGCAAAGTAATTATTTATGTGTTATTTTACATGTTAAGCGCAAAAATCATTAATTCTCAGTGTTTTTACCTGATTTTTAATTCTTTATAAAATCCAAGATGGCGACCATGTTTGGTGACGGCACATACCTCCAGTAGCGCCGCCACCCATAACATATACCTCATCATGTAGAGAAGATTAAAGGCTATCCGCTGAAGGCAAAATCGTTTCGAAATATTGCAACATATCAAAAACCCAAGGGAAGGGGCGGGGGGGTCCATCATCCCCTTTTACCACGGTGGGGTATGACGTTGCGTGTACGTCTAAGGATTATAACTTGTTGTTGATTGAGTGTGATTAAACTATAGTGCAGAACAATAGCAGTTTATTTCAAACCCAACTGAAAAAGCCACGTTTCCATATGCATCGGTGACCTAAAACGTAAAAGTTGAATTACGAGACACTAAATCAGAAACCTAATCAGGGAACTATCAGGACCGTCGAGTCTGCAATTATGACACCGTGTTGTAACTGTCAAATCTTAGATGTGGATAAACCTTTGGCGGGCAAGAATTAATACCAAACAACTATTCTCTATATATCTTAGATTCTTTCACAAGTGAGGATAGTGCGAAGCTGGAGGATATAAAGAAGTCAGTGTTAATGCCTACCAAGAACAGAGAGGAGCGTAAAGAACGGGTCAAAAAGTACCTGAAGTGGGTAAGAATGGAAAGCAAATAATATGTCGCACCAAGAGCTCATAACCCGGAGAGTAAAACTCCCATGAGATAACTTTTCGCAATGACGTTATCACAGATCAAGTTATCTTTAGCATTATTTTGGAGTAATTTTTCTACGAAAATGGAAGCACCGCTTTATATGTGCAAGTATATGATATATGAAAAAAAAAAGAAAATTAAATGTCATAAAAAGCATCAAAAACGTGTTTTTTTTGGCCTCCTCTTATTACTGATTGATTTTTTTAGACTTTTTTGATAGTCGAAAATTGCGGAAATCGATCTAAGAATAAACTAATGTGTGAAAACGTCGTTTCGTAGGAGGGAGCTCCAGGGTATGGACCTTCATGGTCACACACAAATCAACTTGAGAGAAAGAAAAATAGGGCAAAATTCAGATATCAGTGAGGAGCCATTTCAATATTTTATGCATTAGGTTTATTTTGACGTTTCAAAAGAAGTCGCTCAGTCGAAGTTCTCATGAGGGCCACCCTAACTTAATTCATGAATCGGGGACCCATTTAGAAATGTCACCTCTTGTTAATTGATTCAAACGTCGATCTTTTAACAATTTAATGACTTCATTGAAGAGATTAGGTTCGCCGGGTAGATGAAGAGTTCGACGGGGCTTCTGTACGTACCTTTTTACTATTACTGACTTATTACTATTATTACTTACTATTGCAGTTTGTAGAAGCGCTGACAACAGGCCACAAAAGGTTGTGTCTTGATGAGCCTCTTACTGATGAAGATTGCCAGTTTCTTCGAAGCATTTTTGTGCCCGCCATTAAGAATCAGTCAATTTTGGCTCTCCCAAAAAATTTTGACGAAGAAAAGATTCAAGGATACGCAATTGTTTTGAAGATTATTTCTGGTAAGATCCTACCTGTTTGCACAAATATTTTCTTTACAATATTTACTATTTTGCTATCCTGGTAAAATCAGGATTGAATTAACAAATCAAGAGAAGAGTCATGATAATATAATAGTTATTAAATGAGGCTAAGTATGATGTGAATGATATTGAAGAATTAATGCAGATTGAGATGGGTGTTATCCAACCCCGGACCTATGGCCGAGGTAGATAACAACCTCTGAGATCTGCATTATTGGTCATTTCATATACGAAGCCGAATTTGATAATTGTTTTGCTATTTTCTTTTCAAAGTATTTTCTAAGCTCTTTAACATCCTTACCTCTCCACAGACATTCTTAAAAACTTTGGTCTATTTCTCGGCACAGAAAATAAACAGAAAATAAAATATTTTTATGATTGTAATACTTACGTCTTATAAATGTTTACTAGACGATTTTGTTTATAAATATTACGAGAATTATGATTTTCTCGTTCTTGATCAGACAAAGGGCCATCTCGTCACGAATGTCTATGTGTCTTTTAAATGCGCGCTCTATAAATAATAAGGCACTATTTATCAAAGACTATGTAGTTGATCATCAAATTGAAATCTTGGGGACTACTGAAACTTGGACCAAATCAGATGGAGAATCCAATCGTGTTGTAAATGAGCTGAGTCCCCGGGATATTCTTTCATCTAAGTACCGAGAAAAAAACGATCTGGTGGTGGTATTAGCCTGTTATATAACACAAGCCTGAAAATCGAAAGGGTTGATTGTAACAGTTATGCCTCTTTTGAATACTTGGAGGTGAAACTGCGTACTGCATCAATAGTTGTTAGAATTGCAGTTGTTTACCGCCCTCCTTCGTCAAAAGTTAATAACCTTACTTCCGCCCAGTTCTTTCATGATTTCAACGATCTGCTCGAACACTTCTCATTTTCCTCTGGTAGCCTTTTGATCATGGGTGACTTCAATTTTCATGTAAACGAACCATCTCGTGATCGTCTGGCGGCTAAATTTCTAGATTTTTTGGACTCTTATAACTTGGCCCAGCATGTTACAGAGCCTACACATAAGCGTAAGGACACGCTGGACTTGATAATTACAAGGGCAAACGAGGATACTGTTTTGAACTGTAAGGTTGAGGACCCTGACCTATCTGATCACTATGCGGTACACTGCAAGTTGACATTGGATAAGCCCACTCCTCGTAGAGTAGAAAAGACCTATCGAAAACTGCGAAGTGTAGATATGGAGGCTTTACGGAGAGATCTGAGAACTTTACCTGTTTTCACCTCCCCGGCTACAAATGTAACCGATTTATTAGCACAGTATCAAAATGATCTTGATGGTTTGCCCGAAATCCATGCGCCCCTAAAAAGACGTGTGGTCACCTTAAGGCCTTCCACGCCATGGTGTAATGATGAAATTGCGTCTGCAAAGATTGAACGGCGTAAACTGGAGAGGCACTGGCGAAAAACTAAACTAACGGTACACCAACAAATATACAAAGACAAATGCAAACAAGTCAGGTCTTTAATTACATCGGGAAAGATGGAGTTTTACTCTGATTTCATAAAAGAAAACAAAGGCAATCACAAGGTGTTGTTTTCCGCCATTGACCGCATGTTAAACCTGACACCGGAGAAGTGTTACCCTTCTTGCGAGTCTGCAAAAGAATTATGTAACAACTTCGCGGATTTTTTCTCAAGCAAGATTGCCACAATTCGATCGAATCTAGACTCTTTGGCACTGCCTGATATCCCTTTCCGATTTTCCCATTTTGATAATCCCTCTATTCAATGTGAGTTTAACCAGTTCAAGCCGACTACTGCTGTCGAACTGAGCAAATTGATTACTAAAATGGCTAGGAAGTCGTGCCCTCTAGACCCGATTCCTTCTAACTTATTTAAGTTGTGCTTTTCTGATTTGGTACCAATCATAACAAAGATTGTTAATTGCTCTTTAGAAAGTGGTGAAGTTCCTCTGCCTATGAAAAGGGCTATTTTATCTCCTCTTCTTAAAAAACCGTCCCTTGACACCGAGCTCTATCCAAGCTTCAGACCGGTATCGAACCTCATGCTTGTGTCCAAGGCGACAGAAAAAGTAGCGGCTACGCAACTCTGGGAATATTTATGTTCAAATGGATTAAATGAGGAACTTCAGTCTGCTTATAAAGCTATTCATAGCTGTGAAACAGCTCTGATTCGAGTACAGGATGATATCCTCAAAGCCATCGATAGTCATCGCGGTGTTTTGCTTTTGCTATTGGATCTTTCTGCAGCCTTTGATACGGTTGATCATGAAATTCTTCTAGGAAGACTCTCCTCTAGGTTCGGTATCAAAGGAAAAGCCCTGGACTGGCTACGATCTTACCTTACAGACCGTACTCAGCTTGTGAAAGTAGACGACGCTTCATCCACGGTACGACCCCTTCATTGGGGTGTGCCTCAAGGTTCGGTCCTAGGCCCCATGCTTTACTTATTGTATACATCTCCACTGGGTGATATTGTTCGTGAGCATGGCTTGTCGTTTCCCTTTTATGCTGATAACTCGCAGCTTTATACATTTTTGCTTGCAATGACACCTCTGATCTAGTGGCTGCAAAACAACGTCCTGAGAACTGCGTTGCTGACATCAATTTGTGGATGACTGCCAACAAGTTAAAGCTTAACAATGATAAATCAGAATTTCTCTTTCTGCACTCCCGTTTTCGTCATTCGTTGCCTCCGCCCACGATTTCTGTTGGCATGGAAAATATCAGGCCCTCTCAACAGGCTCGCAATCTTGGCGTGATTTTTGACGACAGAATGTCACTTTCACCTCGTGTTAATACAATAGTTAAGAGTGCCTTCTATCACATACGAAATATTTCTAAAATAAGAAAATACATCAGTACAAGTACCACAGAAATTCTAATTCACAGTTTTGTTAGCTCGAAGTTGAACTTTTGTAATTCTCTTCTTTTTGGTGCCCAAAAACGGGACATAGCCAAGTTGCAGTCCGTTCAGAATGCGGCTGCTCGAATTATCGCCGGTCTCAAAAAACGAGATCACATCACCGAGACTCTAAGAGATCTTCACTGGCTTCCTGTTGAGGAGAGAATTGTTTTTAAAATAAATTTAATAACTTTTAAAACATTGAATGGCTCCGGTACCCGATATCTTGAAGATATTTTAAAATTTTACAATCAAGCAAGGACATTACGGTCATCAAGGGATTATTTACGCCTTGAAGAACCAAATTTTAACATGAAAACTTATGGCCAACGAACGTTTTCCGTTGCTGCCCCCTGACTATGGAACAAGCTCCCCTTTGAAATTCGAGCTTGTTCTGATGTTAATCTTTTTAAATCTTAGTTGAAAACGTTTGTTTTTAAAAAGGTATATGACATTTAGTTTCGTCATATTTTTTTTTGTTTTTGTTTTTTTCTTTCCTTTTTAAGTTGTGTACAGTAGGGTTATATGTAAGCTTGTGCTTAATGATATTCTTATGTCCTTTTTTACATTGTAAAGCACTTAGAACAGCGATGTATAAGCGCTATATAAATTCCATTATTATTATTATTATTATTATTATTATTATAAGTTTAAGTATAAGAAACTGGTGATCACCAGACTGAGGAACATAAATACGAACAGAAATATGGACATAATTGCCTTAAAAAATCTTAATTCCTCACACACATCATAGTTAGTAAAGGAGACTGGTTATGAAAGCCGGCAATCATCAAAGTTGAAAACTACGATTCTGTAGGATGGCGCAGTGATTAATGCGTAATGCGATGTTTCTATTGGTCAGAAAGTTCAAAATGATAGGAATGCTACTGAACGTTGTGCAAGCTGGTCAGGTCCAAAAAAGCAAACAAAAACTGATATAACAGCGGGTTTTATAACCATTCCACTTTGAATTAGTAACTAAATCTGCGCGTACGGGGTCAGTTTGTCGTTAGATTAATTGTTAGCTTAAACTGAATTGATTTTGTTAAAAATAAATCTATGTTCCATCTTGATTCCATGCTTTAGACTTGTCCGAGGAAAGCTGGGATGAAATAGAGAAAGCTTGGGCTGAGGAGGAAGAGCATTTGGAAGACAACAAATGAACTGACTGACAACTGTAATCACGTTCTCTTATCTCGATTCAAGTGTCGGTGTAGGTGTGATCAGTTTTCGATATATGTTAAAAAAATAGTTGTCGGTGTTTTGATTCAAGTGTTCTATAGTCAGTGTCAGTGATGCATTGCTCAGTAAGATCACTGGAAACACTGAGAAATAGTTTCAAACGCGCTTTTTGGTAATTTTGCAACAAATCCGCTGACAAGCACCATACGTTCAGTTGTAATATGAATGACTTGAGTGTGTATAATATGTCTTGCATAATCTAAAAAAAGTTCGCCTACAGTACGTCCGAAATAAGCTCTTGAAAATGTGAGAGGTGCATTTTAAAATCTCACACAATTATACTACTGCATGAGAAATTTCTGCAATCTTATTGGCTTAGAGCAGTGGTATTTCAGCTTAATTTGAAATATCTACATGTGAAAATTACAAACCTTTTGCGGGTAGTAGTATAAACAAATAATAGCATGATTTGTACGTGATATTTGGCATAACTACCACTCGTGATATTTCAAAATTGTCTAAATTTCACTTGCCTAACGGCTCGTGAAATTACGTATAACAATTTCGAAATATCACTCGTGGTATTACCTATACTAACCCGGGTTCACCATTAATAAATAAATTTAATAATTTAATTCCATACCAAAATGACGTGGTGAAAGAGAAGATATCAATCAAGAATTTTCATTTCAAATTACTTGCTATAATGAGTACTAGCCAAATATAGCTAAGAAATGTGAGAAAAGTGGAAATTTAAAGTTGGACCTGAAGCAACTGAAAGAAAACAAATCATTAATTGAGGACTAGTGGACGATAATTACTGATCTCTTTCTTCTTTCCACTTTCATCAGCCCATCACCGTTGTGTGTTTCTGCTTTACTACTTGTTTTGTTTGCTTATTTGTTGTTTCAGTTTCACCCAACTTTAACTTGAAACTGGCTTTGCTTTCACGTGCGCGACCACTTGCTTTAGATAGGCAAGGCAGACCAAACTGAAGTAGGCTGAAAACAAATCAGAAGATGGAATGTTCGGATTCCGGATTCCAGGTACTGGATTCCAGTATTTGTAAGTGAAACTTGGATTCTGGATTCCGATTGTCAGTGGGAATCCGGATTCCTTGAGCTGTATTCCAAATTCCAAAACCCAGGATTCCGGATTCCATACGCAAACTTTTCCTGGATTCCGGATTCCACATGCAAAAATATCCCGGATTCCATCAATTATTTTATTTTAGTTTCTTAGTACTTAGCAGTCTCCATAAAATACATTATTTCCGCTGATCAAGAGAGAATCCTTCATTCTCTTGTGCTGATTATTCATTTTCAAGATAGTTTTGTTGAAGGTACTTAAACCAGTGCCCCGTTAATTGAAGTGTAGTACATACCGGGTTTTATTGTTGCTCCAATTGATAGTTTTTCAATAAAGTTCGCAGTTCAGCTTTGTTTTGTTCTCTTTTGATCGCATTTTTATCAATTACCTCTCCTGAATAAGCGCAGCCAACAAGAGGGCAATTTACATGCGCATGCGTGCATCCGCTGAACGACAATAGCGTGGGCGCATCAAATCTGATGGCGGGAAATTGAAAATAGTGTGGCGCGGTGGCCGATAAATACTTATTTAATGGTTCAGCATATAATACGTGCGGATATTTTCGAGTTGCGTAGTATTTTTCCGCGCCCTGCAATGGCGAGGAAAAAATACGAGCAATGAGCAAAATGTCCGCTCATGTTATATGCTAAGCCATCGAATAAGAGGTTTATTATTACGCTACAAAATATTGTTATTTTGCAATTAGCTTCTATTTTTTGGGTAAGAGCATTCAGAAACATCCTAATTCCGTGTGTGAGAGTGACGTTAACAATGAGCAAAATGTTCGCGCGTAATATATGCCAAACCATTGAATGAGAGGTTAATTATTCTACTGCAAAAAAATATATATTCATTTTGGCTTCTATTTTCTACTTTATTTTCGCCAGCCAGTTCTTCCAGTTCAGCCATGGTTGCTCCTTTTGCATCCCCCGGTATTCGCCCTGTTGTATACCGGTTAAACCAGGACACTACAGTGTATTACGGCCTCGTATTTTGGCGTTCTCTTAACCTTATATGGTAAAATGACGTAATAGTAGAATAATAGATGCACTTTTTATTGTAAATCTCCTATTCGATGGCTTAGCATATAATACGAGCGGACATTTTGCTCATTGTTCGTATTACTACGTAACAGTGCTAGTACTACGCAACTCACAAAATATCCGCACGTATTATATGCTAAACCAGCTTCAAATTAAAGAAGGAGATATTTTTAGAGTATTTGATACATCGAGAAAGGATGTGTTCTTGGTCGGAAAGGTACGGATGTCGACTGCATCCTGTCTGGAATTACTGTTGGAATAACAAATATTGCGAGTCCTTCCGTTCTACTTATGCTGTATTTTGTTTGTTTGTTCAGTTGACAATAACGGGTTTGCTAAAATTTCCCCACCCTTATTTAAAATGAGTACCGGCAACATGAATGCAGTATTTCTTCATGAAGTGTTCGTTTTACTCTCATTTCCTCCCACATCCACAAATCTGGATGGTACATATGTTGCAGTAAATTTTTGTTATTTGCTGAGATAAAAAAATAACTGAAACCTATACATCTTTCAAGGAGGACTTTCCCAATGATAATTGAACTTAAGCAATTACAAATAGACCACGTTATTTTAATTTATCATTCGTTGCAAATTTTTCTTCCTTTTCATTAGCCGAGAGCTCACCACGTGACCTCTAAATAACTGCCTACAAATATTGGTCTGCTCATGCGCACTGTCATCCAACTTCGTTTGGCTGCAAATAATTTTCCGCTCATACGTAAATGAAACCACGCTTTTCTCCTTTTTGGGATCGTTCTTGAGTGAAAATGGCAGATTGCTTCGCTTTCCGAAGATATTCCTTAACAAAAAAAAAAAAATGAGAATAACAAACAAACTCGGTGATCGAATGATTAAACAATTTTTCAGTCCATTTGTAAATTTATGCTACTGTTTCCTTAAAATGAAGAAAATGTTTTAAGTTGTTTACTTTTTGCCCATGATAGCTCAAGAGAAAGACTGGTCTCATCCCGTCAAATTTCGAATTCGTAGAAGAAGTTGCCGTCGCTTCTCTGCGCAGGCTGGCTGCTGCCAAGGTAGTTCACGTGACCACATACCGCAGATAGATAATGATAACCACCACTATTTCATCATTATCATCAATAAAAAAGTTTCAACTGGGGTGGTGTAAGCAGATGGTTATGATACCCTTGATGTTATATTTAACAATTAATGAATGAGGCTGAGTATCTTATGAAGAATAATGGAGATCGAGGAGGGTGTTATCCGTCGAGGCCGTAGGCCGAAGCGGATAATACCGTCCGAGATTTCCATAATTCTTCATATGATACGAAAGCCGAATTCAATAATTATTTTATTATTCGTTCAAAATAATTCCTAGTCTAAAAACATGGCTAAAACATACTTACTTCCATCGATCCATCGATGTTAAGTTCATCTTCGATAGTGCACATTTAGCGTTGTTCAGCTCCGCAAATATTCTCCAAATAGCAGATGTCGCCCTTCGAGTTATCTTCTTGCTGTTCCTGCCATGTTTTAAGCAATTATTTCGCCTATTTCTTACTGTTGAAACGAGTGAAATGTCCGCCATTTTTCTTTGCACAACCAAAACAACTGAACCTCGTCCCCAGGTCTTCTCGGTTAACGGTGCATTAACCTGCAAGAAGGCTGCTCTTTTGACATCATCGGTTCATTAAACGCAAACTTCTTCCAAATTTGATCATCAGTAGCTGGTTATGGAGAATTATGCGTGTGCTTTTAGCCAATCAGAATCGGGTAAATATTTTGAAGGAATAATAATGTTTCTTATTAGACAAAGTGTTTTCCTTTGGCTTGAGCCGATTTAGAGAATTTGCTCAATCAAAGTGGAAAGGTTTCATGTGAGAGGCCCATTGTATGGTTAAAATGTTCAAATTATTAATAAAGATGGGAAGTTGCTAAAAATAAAATATTAACGGAAACAGCCGAGTTCTCAAAAAAATAATTTAAAATGGCTGTTTTGTAATTGCATCAACGATTTATTTCTGTTGTGTGGAAAATTTCCTCGGAAAGCAAACTATTTGCCTACGAAATCTTTCGCAATAAGAATCGAAGAGAGATAGTGAAAAAATTATAAAAGAAGACAAAGTAGAACTGGGAATGCTCTTGACATTGTTGTTACACATGAACCTAATAAACGACCTACTTCATCTATCACTAGCTTAGTGGGTAGGGCGCCCCACCGATGTTTGGCAGTTTACATGAAATAGTGCAATGTTTTCCGTTTTCTCCTAAACATGTCTGTGTTGAAATATGGAAGGGACATCTTGATAATTTCATAAATATCGTCGTCATAAATATAGGTTTGCAACGAAAGTTAGCATGCTGTCCGTTTTCTTTAACGGCCCTCTTCCGTTAACGTTTACTTTCGCCCCAATTTTCAATTTTTTGGTGCGGTCCTATCACACGGCTAACACTGTTAGATTTATGGGTGACCTGTTTCAGCTACACGCAAGTTTAAGGTACGTCAACAGGAAGAAAATACAACTAATAGAAATAGTTTCGGAGTAAAAGGGATTGAGGAGGATTGTATTATAGAGCGTTTCTTTTCACAAAATCTCTTTTTCTCCTGGCAATGGTAATATATATTTTCTTTTCTTTAGCTCGCAGACGGTTTGTTTCACGCAGACATGATCATGAATGGCCAATTAGGACTTGTACCAGGGAGTTTCATTGAGGAGCACAATAACGGGGTACATGTTAACCAGACACCAATTTCTAAAATTAATGGTTGACTTATTTATGGAGAATGTTCAGTGCAATGTCTGTTGATTAATAGAGTTTAAGGGGCTGAGGTGAAGTGAATCCTGAATTCTGTACATCTTGCCTGCTCGTGATTTCCCTCGTTGGTCCCGCAAGAACAAGTTCTCTTTTTGGCCTTACAGTAAAAATCCTTTATTGACCAAGCTTTTTGGCTGACTATGGTTGGATACTTGGCCTTGTGTTTTGTTTTTGTTTTCTGTTTTTTACTTTGTTTCGACCTCTTCTCGGTTCATAAAAACTCAAAAAAGAAAGCTCAAAATCCCCCCAATGATATCCTAAGACCTGTGATGTAATAGTCTCAGCTTAGTTTAACCTAGGTTTAATTTGTTACCTAGGGAACAGACAGTGGAAGGCCTCATCGTCATCTTGTTGGACTAAACCTAGTCTAGTCTCCTTGAAATAATCAGCGATGTCATCCAGAGCCGCATTTGAGCAGGCTGTGGCTGGCAGTGCGTTAGGGCTTTTATTAAAAATTTTAAAGTCGTTTTTTTGTATCTATGATGTTTTGAAAACTGGTTTAAGCAATCTTCTCATTCCAGTGTTAGTTATTTTATTATAAGAAATCGAAGTTTTAACTCTTGTACAGAATACGGAAATGTTGATCGTGTAAACATCACATCCCGGAAATGTAAAATTACTTTCAAAGTGCTTCAGTTTTACAAGACATAATATATAATGACAATTTTTGCATAGGTATATACATAGAAGAAAAAATAGTTATGAGGATTGATATCACAATCTCGAAGTGGTATTTTAACTGTTAAATTCAAGGCGGTGATTTTACCACAACCTTCTACTTAACGGATTGTTACCAGAGTCCCGGCAGCCTTTTATGCCCTTCCTTACGTGTGCCCCTTCACTGGTGGTTTTCACTGTCACGCCATCGAAAACTAATTTCAAAATCGTGGAATGTCTGAAGCCAAGAATTTCAGATATTATAGAATATCGATAAATTAACAACCTGCCCAAGTCTCACGTCTGTGCAGTTTTCCGCTGCTGAGTTGTTCTTCAAAATGTGTAACAAATTTATAGGGCTCACTATATGAGAGATCCTTGATATAGGGTTAACCTCTGGGTTTCCTTTTCCTTAATGACAGTGCTTGTTATTTTTAAATAAAGTATTGTATATGAAAATATGGGGACGCCATATTTGTGCTCCTCCGAGGAAAACAAATATGGCGGCCGGAAATAATGCAAACATCTCGTTTCAGTGTCGCCACTCTTCTCCGCAGAGGCCTCTGTGTTGTGGGGAGGCTGGGGAAAGAAAGATAAAGAGAGCGCGGGCCATCTTCCCATCGTCCCCCGCGCGCTTTCAATTTTTCCGATTTTCAGCTTTTTTTTAGGGATACCCAGCAGAAGCCTCTGCGGAGCAGAGAGGTATCGCCACCAATTTGGTCAGTAGTTAACTGGGAACGAGCAGATTATCCCCTAAACACATTTTCTAATACTTTCACCATTCAAAGGGCATGATATCATGCGATAAAAATTGTTTTTTAACAAATGTG